GGGGCTGGACGGCACCATAACAACTATAAGGCCAATGGTCCGGCAGTCACAGCCAGCATGCTCACCGGGCACAAGCTCGCCGTCCTCGGCGCCCTCATGCTCCTGCTCACTGCGGCGCGGGCACCCATGCCCATCAGGATGCCGGCGGCCGTGTCCTGTATGGGCGCGAGGTGCGACGCCTGCGCGGATTTCCTTGTGAAAGATCATCGCGGCATTCAAATCCCTCTCAAACGTAAGTTACCTTGGTATTTGACTCTCGGTTTCGCAGCTATATTCAAGAACTAAGGGGTATCCTAATGAGGATGTCATTAAAGTAAAAACAGTCGTGGAGGGGAGGGCTTTTGTAAATTCCATGTTCTGGTTTGCATACAGTCAATACTCTATCACGCAATTTTACATACGATTGATTATTTCGAGATATTTTACTGTTTCAAATGCGATCAACGCCGACAACAGCGTGCTTCTGTGTTGATTTTGAGGGAAGAGACATGGCGCTTCACTTCACAGGGACTGACAACGGCACAGTTGTCTTTGAAAAGGAGATATCGGGTAAAAGCATAACAATTTAAGTCTCGTAAAATTTTTATCTCTATTTTGAAACGGAAAGGGGAACTGTATTACCTCACGCTGTTTTCTTAAACTATTACAGGGGAGTCACCCTATCCTGTATGTTACGTCCCGCGAGTACACGACTATCTGCAGATTTGCCTCACGTTCCAAGATGTCAACTCAATCGGCAACTCATTGCAGGTATGCGAGTACTACTGCAAAACGGTTAAGAAGGTAAAAATAATTCCCGCAAACGTTCATCGTCATGTCTATGTCATGTGTTGCCTAGGTGTGCACAACGATTCAGGCGAGCATTATAAACACTCCGCCCAAAGTGTTCGCAAACACAAACTGCTTTGTGGCGGACACCCAGTCCAACACCCTCACATACACCGCCAGTCCCAGGGAGCTAAAAGGGTAGCCACTATTGAGCCATAGCACCATAGGAAGAAGCTCCATCGATATACCAGCACGATTAAATTATTCTACGTTATGTTGCCTGGTCACACAGCACAAACAATAAAATGTCTCAGAAACCGAAATAAAGGTGTATTGGTTTTCAAAGCTCGGTGTGATAAACTTTACGTGCAAATTTACCGCTCATTCTCGCGCACTTTGTCCGCTTTCCCCTGCGAGTCTGCCGACACCCCTCTGTCAGTCCGGCCGGGGCTGGGCTGGGCTGATGTGACGGCGGTGCTGGTCCCGGCCGGGGCCGCAGGCCAGGATGACGTGCGGCACGCGGGGCCAGCCCAGCGCGCGCTGGGCGCCCGGCACCGGCCAGTACGGAGGGGTGGGGGCGAGGCGAGGCGAGGGTCGGACGGAGGCTAGGGGCTGGGCCCTGGGGCTGGGCCCTGGGGCTGGGCCCTGGGGGCACGCAAACGCCCACCCGCCTGCCTGGGATTTATTGCTGGCCGACTTCCAGGCCGGGACAGCTTTCCAGGCTGCGGTGCCAGTCCCTGACACAAAAACACACCGGCGCGGCGCACCTCACCGCCCGCGTCGTACCTTTCACGGGATATATATATATATATTTATGTAAATTCGGGCACAAACTGGCAAGCGAGCACCAAGGCGCAACCAAAAGCGGATTCCGTGTGAACCAGGGAATTTCTCTTCCCTGCGCCCGAGCCGGGCGGGGTGTGCGAGGGGGTGAAGGACTCGGGGAACACAAAACAACACAGGACGAAGCCAAGCACAGCCGGGGGGTTTATATAAAACTCTGTCGTGTGCACGACGACGGGCGGCCCCGCGTGGTCGGGCTTGTCACTGGTGGGCACGGGGTAGAAGGGGGTGCGGAGGTAGGGCGCTCCTCGGACATCACGCCAACCCCCCGCCGCAGGCCAGGCCGCGCGCCCGGGCCGCCACCCCCGCGACGGTACCCAGTAGTACCAGCCTGCGGCCAGCGGACGGCCCTGCGCACGTCACGACGAGAGAGGGAAGGGGGCGGGTACAACCGGACCAGAGCGGTGCGGCGCACGAGGAGAAGCACGCGGCGGAAGTCCCACGCGTGCTACTCACAACCTGCTGGTCAAGGCATCACTGTCAGCCGTCGACTACGTTTGTGAAAAGCCTGATGACCACAGGGAACGACAATTACTCTAATCATACATTCCTTTTGAATTGTGCGAACAAATGACGCATCTGGGGACTTGACGCGTAGAAAAACGGCCTTTCGAACGGAGCGAGAGGGGGGGCGGAGGGAACAAAAATAGTTCAAAATGCACACCAAACATTTATTTGTAAGGGTTTCAAAGCGCTTGCAAAGAAAATATTCGAAATACCAAATTTACTTCGTAATCTTTATACAGAGGGTACGTGTGTCACGACACACGGCGACTGCGTGGAGCGATGAGGACGAGCTTCAGTGCGCCGAGAGGGTAGGCAACCCATCCGACAGCGCGGCGCGGCGGCTGGCCGGGCCTCTGGTTGGCGGGAGTTTGCCGTGCGCGTGACTGCAGCCGCCGCACCAGCCGATCCCGACGCGCTCCCGCACCGCACTGGCACTACCTCTGCGGACACTCAAATTCCGTATTCGCCAGGGCACTCACCACCAGCCCATATGTCCCGTGCAAGGAGAGACTCTGCAGCTAACTGGGAATTATTGAGCCCATGCCCAGTTCCATTCCTATCCCCCCCCCCCTTCTCTCTCTCTCTCTCTCTGGGCGAGTCGGGTCAGGTATACTGCATGGACATCAATCAGAGATACACGTGTGTGCGTGCGAGTGTGTGTCTGTATGGATCGTGATTGAAGGCATCAGCTCGGCTCCCCCACCCCCTTTCCCCACTCCTCCCCCGCGTCCTCCGGGCGGGT